CAGCCCCTCTCCTGGAAGCCCGGCACACCTAGCCCCGGAGTCAGCTCGGTCGTCATCTCCCCAAAGCAGTCCCTCTCACTTCCTGTCCCTGATGTGAAAGTAATCACTTGGCCACTGAGATTTGTTCGTTTCCTTGATGCAGCCCCAATCCTGTGGTGTTAGACCTCATTGACTTTTTCTCCCATTAGATTGTGAGTTCCTTGAGGGCAGGGGTGTATCTGATTCACCCCAGGGGCCCTTTATTCAATTAACAACTGTGTAATGGACAGCTTCTTGGTGCCGCAGGCACTGTGCTAGACGTTGGGCGTGTAGTGGGTAAATAAGCGGTAAGTTCATGATCGTTGTGGATCTTCACCAGTGCAGGTTCCTAGTTACTCAGTGAATAATGTTAAAAGTCTCGCTGAAACCGAGCATCAGCCTGTGGACTGAAAGGTCCCAGATTTGATTCCGAACAAGGGCATGTATAATACATTGGTTGCAGGCACATCCCCAGTAGGGGGTGTGCAAGAGGCAGCTGATCGATTACTCTCTCATCGATGTTTCTAACTCTCTATCTCTCTTCCTTCCTCTCTGTACAAAATCAATAAAATATATTAATATATATATATATATATATATATATATATATATATATATATATATATAAAGTCTCTTGTTTTCAACTTCTTTGTCCTTGTAGGAAACCTTCTGGCGAATTCCAGCCAAGCTGAGTCCCACCCAGCTCCGGAGGGCAGCGGCTTCTTTGAGTCAAGCAGAGGAAGAGGGAAAGCTTCAGCCAGGGCCAGACCCTGAAGCCCCTGGAGAGCAAGCCCCCGAGGGAGAGCACCCAAAGGAAGAGCGGGCAGAAGCCCTGCGGGCCCTCCTGCTGGCCCGGAAAAAGAAAGCAGGCCTGGTGTCCCCCGCGGGTAAGAGCGGGGCCGCCCAGTGACGCACCGCGGGGCAGCGCGCTGATCTAGAGGCTGCGGGAGCGTCCTGATGATTCGAGGGCCCAGCCTAATCTCACGCCTCTTACTGCCATTCAGAGGCAGAGGTCGCTGCTGTGGAAGAGCAGCCGAAGGTGGCACCCAAGAAGCGACAACTGCTGGACAGCGACGAGGAACAGGAAGAAGATGAGGGCGGGAGCAAAGGTGAGGAGTCTGGGACCCGCTCTTTCCTCTGGCCTCTGGCACCTTCAGTCCTGAAGGTGATGAATGCTCTCCCCTCCTTCCCCTTTCTCTCTTCTCACTCCTATCCGTCTTACAGCACCAGAGCTGGGAGTTCCGGGAATCCAGAAGAAGAAACGGTTTTGTATTGAGGATGAAGATGAAAGCGACTGAAGAGCCAGAAGCCTGAGGGTAGAGATAGACCTGTGTTTAGGTGTTGAGTTTAAATCAGAATCGGAAGGGTCATGCAGGACCCGGAATCTCCTCTTACTGGACAGAAGCAGGGCAGCGCTGGGCTTCCCTGGGGGCCCAGGGAGCTCAGACCACAGAGCTGGACTCCTGCCGTCACTCACTCTTTGTTTCTCCCTGTTTTGTCCGGATGCCTCGGCAGCTCCCTGTCTCAGCTTCTTCTGGGAACCATTCTTTGGTTATTAGTGCCCCTTAGCAAACGAAAGGGTAAAGGATGGTTTCGGCGGGACTGGGGCTTTGGAAGAGGCTGGTCGTGAGTGAGACCTAGGAGGTGCCCTGGACCGCTCTTACTGGTCTGTTCCTTTGGCTCTCTCTGGAGGTGGGTCATGGCACTAGACGGGGAGCTTTGTGACGTGATGGGTAGGGGTATTGCACCACTTAAAAAGCACCAGACACTCCCATCTTCATTCTCTTTCCTGTGATCACAGCCTAGACACCAGACTGAACCTAATTCCTGCAGTTGAGGTGGAGCTGGGATGCAGTACTCCCCAGGTGATGAATATGTTCAGTTTGTGTTTGATACTGAATTAACCATGTAAGATTAAAAGTTGCCAATGTTGATCTGTCTTCTAATCTGTCTAAGTACCCTGCTGTGCTCTTGGGAGAACTTTTAACTATTAAGGTGAAAACAAACCATCAACCTTCCATTTTCTCTTGCTTTCCCTACAGAAGACACAGAAAAATAGTCTTACCTCAAGATCCTTGCTCTAGGACAGTGGTTGGTGGTCGGCAAACCGCGGCTTGCGAGCCACATGCGGCTCTTTGGCCCCTTGAGTGTATTTACACCACTTCTTCAAAATAGACTTGCCCAGGCTGAAAACCAACCTCTGCTCATGGGCCAGGAAATCTCAATCACACCGTACGTCTGCTCCCACACGTGGTGTTTTGTGGAAGAGCCGCACTCAAGCCACAGTTTGCCGAACACTGCTCTAGGATAAGTCTTTAGGGTGACTAGAGTTTGCAGGAGGAAGAAACAGGAGCTGCAAAGGGAGAAAAAGCCAGTTTGTGAGTACGGGGCAGAGTGGGGGACAGAGTCTAGGCAAGAAGGAGTGGGTAAAGATGGCAGTTGTCACGTCTTTCCCTGTTCGTGGAAGCTGTCAGCTTGCTGGCTCGCGGGTTTCCAGGCGCGGTAAGGCGAAGGTGAGATTCGGGAAGTAGCCATTCGGATCATGGAGAGCCCTCAGCAAAGGGTGCATTTGGGCTGCCTTGTTCCTCTGACCTGGGTTTTCTTCTTCTGACAACCTCTAAAGATGGAATGAATATATTTGGTATTGAATTAAACATGTGAACCCTACTGTAAACTATGTACTTAGACAATAATAGTTAATAATACATAGTAAAATAAATAATGAAAATGTAAAATGATTGTAACGTGTATCACCCCAGTGTAAGATGTTAATAGGGGAAACTGGGGTTGATGGAGAGGGATGATTATTTGGGGACAGTCTATACTTCCTGCTCAATTTTTCTATACACCTAAAACTGCTCTAAAAAGCAAATGCCATTAATTACAGTAAAACCCATAAGCAAACAAATGAAACAGAAATAAACTCATGGATACAGAGAACAAACCGATGGTTGCCAAGATGGGAGGGGTATAGGGGGCTGGGTGAAAAAGGTGAAGGGATTATGAGGTACAAATCGGCAGTTACAAAATAGTCATGGGGGTGTAAAGAACAGATAGAGAATATAGTCAGTCAGTATATAATTATGTGGTGCCAGGTGGGTACTAAACTTATGGGGGCATCTTTTTGGAAGTTATATAAATGTCTACCCTCTATGCTGTACACTGAAATTAATATAATATGAATGTCAACTGTAATTGGGGGGGAAAAACACCCTAGAAAAGAAAGCACCCAAGAAGTGACAACTAGTGGGAATTGACGAAGAGCTGGTGGAAGACGAGGGCAGGACAAAGGTGAGAAGTCTAATTGGGGGGGATATGCGTCTGTCTGCAACCCTCTGTCATTCCTCTCCTCAGTCTTGGAGACAAACTCACCACACTTCCTCTCCCCCTGCCACATTTACACAGTCTCTCCCCTGTCATTTCCAAGGCACTAGAGTTTGAAATTCACGGAATTTCAACAAAATGGCATTTTTGTATTGAGGATGAGGACACTGACCAATGAACTGGAGGTGGAGATAGGCCCATTTATGGATGGTAAACTCAAGTCAGAAGTGGGAGAATTCACCCTTTGCACTCCGAACCATTCTGGACATTGGCTACCAGCTACTCGACGCTACTTTGCGGCGGACACGTGCGTTGAATTAACTCAATTCCCCGTAATCACTAATTAACTGCAATGTCCCCCTGAGAGGGGACATCCGAGAGATATGCTAGAATTCCGATGTCCCCTGAGAGGGGACCGCGGGGTGCAAAGGGTTCATGTTGGCATGACCAATGGACAGACACTGGGATGGTGGGGGTTTGCCCGGGGTGGGAATGGCTGGGGGCGGGGTCAATTGGGGAACAAGGAGACATACATAAAACTTTAGACAATTTTCTTAAATGTGAAAAATATGACTATATATGAAAATTTTAAAAAAAGAAATGGGAGAAATTGAAGGATCCAGGATTTTCAGGCAATAGTGTTATTGATAGATGCCTCTACATCCAGTTTCCCAATTTTAGGGGTGCATAGTTCCCTAAAGACTTGCTTCTCTAGAAACCTTTAAAAATTTTTTCATTTTATTTTTTACTATTTATTTTTAGAGAGAGAAACATCAATTTGTTCCACTTATGCCTTCATTGTTTTTGTTTTAATATATATTTTATTGATTTTTTACGGAGAGGAGGAGAGAGGGATAGAGAGTTAGAAACATCGATGAGAGAGAATCATCGATCAGCTGCCTCTTGCACACCCCCTACTGGGGATGTGCCCGCAACCAAGGTACATGCCCTTGACCAGAATCAAACCCAGGACCCTTCAGTCCGCAGGCTGATGTTCTATCCACTGAGCCAAACTGGTTTTGGCTGTTTTTTGTTTTTGTTTTTGTTTTCTTGTATGTGCTCTTCCAGGTATCAAATCCTCAACCTTGGCGTATCAGGATGGCGCTCTAATCAACCCTCTAGGTCCTAGAAACCTCTTTTCTCTTTCTGATTTGCTTGTTATGGGCCCTTCCTGGGGCCGAGAGGAGTGAGTGGCATGGGGGAAGGGATCCAGGACCCCTTTGGCTGGCTGCCCGTAGTGGGTGATAGCACCAGAAAGGGACCTTGATGGCACCATGATGTGCAGACTTTTGTACCATATGCCGTCATTCCCTATTTTCCAGGCTACAGTTTCCCATCCAGACCCCTAGATGAGAAATGAAGCCCTCATTCCTATGGGTTACTGCAGGCTTAGGAAGAGATACTGTGATAATGTGTTTCATTAGGGTACTGCATTGGAATTCAGAAGGTAAAAACTGAAAAACTGCTCTGATTTTGTTCTATTTCCCTCCTCCCATAGCTGGTAAGTCCATTGAAAAAGAACTATTTTGGCATCCCCTCCCCAGAAATCATTGGCAAAGCTGCCTTTCACCTCCTTGCTCCCCCAGAGGATACAGAGTTTGGGTCAGGTTTGGGTCAGGAAAAGCAGTAACCACCAAGGGGAAGGCCTGTTGGTCAGCATGGGGCAAAGGTGAGGAGGATAAATATTTGCTGATGTTACATCCTCACAGTTTTCGGAGGAGTCATCGTGTTTGCCGGGTGAAAGAGAAAGTGGGATGTAGGAAACAGGCATTCCAGTTAGGGAAGCACCGAGGCAAGGACGTGCTCCGGCGACCTCGTTCCTCTGGCTTCTCTCCTGGGTGAGCAGGTGAGGATCATTCAAACCCTGGGAGGCAGGGGCGGGCTATGTTTAGGATAACTGCAGTTTCCAAGGGCTAAGACTTCCTAGCTCTGACCCGTCTTGGTGCCTCTTCACCTGAAGCCTTTACCTACTTCCCGACCTCCGCTTCTTCGCAGCAGGGCTTCCCTGCTGGCCCCAGTGATGCTGGCGGTGCTGTGCTTTGCTGTGGCTTGCTATCCCCAGTGGCTGCCTTTCCAAGAAACGTCCAGAAAGGGGCTCTGACCTCCCAGCTGTGTTTCCCAGAACCTGGGCATCCTTCTAACGTGCTCTCTAACCAGATCCCCAGCCCTGCCAGGACCTCTTGGTCACAGCCCCTCTGCCTGTGTCCCTATCCAGCTTAGCTCTGGAGGTGGCCCAGGAGGAGGCTGGCTGCCCAGCTGAGGCCCACATTCTGCAGCTGCAGCTTTTAGTGTGAAAGAAAAGGTCCACTGAAATCCTCCTTCTCCTTCGCGGGAGTAAAAAGCACAATGAGGAAGAAGGCATTGGCAATAGTAAGGTCGTTCTGAGGGGTCTGTGGGGATAAATCCAACACTCGGGTTGTCACCCTGAGGGTTGTATTAAATACACTCACTGGGGTGGCAGGCCTAGCAGTTCAAACGGTAACTGAGTTTGCTGAGGAGCCATCACCCACGTTGCTGGTGACACAAGTCAGCTTTTGCCGTCATCCCCCAGAACTGCAGGTATGATCAGAAGCTTGTTGAAGAATCAGGCAAAAAGCTGAAGAAACTCCCAAGTTAAGAAGAGCCTCTTAGTGTCTATGGATGATGACAATATAACTTATCAGATGTTCCAGATATTCTGAGGTGCTTTATGGGTAGTTGACTCCAGCTTTTCTTCAGATATTCAGTGTCACGTAGTTGATAAGTCTCCTTTATGGAACTGTATTCAAGGCTGGGATATGTAAGTAGTTAGAAGTTTTGGAGAGCAATTAGGACAAAAGTATTCTCTTTATCCCAGTGCTATAACACATGTGTGGCTGGTATTAACCTTGCCCTTCTCCAGTTAGTAGCTCTCAGTCTCTCTCTTAATCCATTTCCTCCTTTCAGCTGTCATATACTCGGCATATAATGTGTTTTTAAGCATGAATGGTACTTTAACCTTTTCTCATTCATTTACCCTGTACCAAAACCTCAACTAGATGCTGTTTTAGCTTGCGAATTGAATTTTTAAACTGAAAAGAGAAATTTTTAAAAGAGCAAATAGAAGGGTATACCTAATTTCTGATTCTGAGTCTCCTGGCTTCTCTCGTGAGCTAGAGTGGGAACAAGGCAGAGACCTGTGGGAAATGCCAAAGCCCCAGCCAGTTTGGCTCAATGGATAGAGCATTGGCCTGCGGACTGAAAGGTCCCGGGTTTGATTCTGGTCAAGGGCACATGCCTGGTTTTCGGGCTCAATCCCCAGTGTGGGCCATGCAGGAGGCAGCTGATCAATGACTCTCGCATCATTGATGTTTCTATCTTGTGCTCTCCCTCTCTGAAATCAATTTTTTAAAATTAAATTTAAAAAAGAAGAAAGAAAATGACAAAGAACAAAGTCTTAGGTACTGAAGTCAAGTGTGCAACACGGGGCAAGGTCTGAGCACCAGTGTTAATGAACCAATATTTGCAGAGATTACATCGCTTACTGATCAGAGGGAAGGGAATGTGTCCTTATTCATGGGACAGAGAAGTGGGCAGCACTGAAGCGAGCAGCTACCAAACCTGTCGAGGTAGTCTAACGTCTCAGTGCCCGGACTGTGAAGTAATTTGGGGCCCCCTCTAAATGGGTGGAAATAAAGCAAGAGGAAGTCCCTGATAACCTAAAGATAGAGAAGGCCACGTGCAAAATTGAGTTGCATTTCCTGTTTCCTAGGCCTTAGCCTAAAAAGAATAAGCTTAAAGTAGTTGGAGGAGGTATGCCCTCAGTCCCGGGAACTTACAGACCACATCTCAGGGAAGCTATGTTTCTGGTTTTCCCCTCTCCAGTGTACTCTGGTCCAGACATGGGTGGCCTCAGACTCATCTTACCACTGGAGCTGCTGCTTTCTTGCTGCCTCCTGCTGCACCCTGTGGATGCCATGTTCTCTGCAAACCAGACAGATACCCTGATGCACCTTCCCTCATCCTTGGAATCCTGGCCACCCTCCTCAGGTCCCTTGCCCTGCCAGACGCTGCTCCCAAAGTCCCTGCCTGGCTTTGCCCAAATGGCCCCTCTACCCCAGTTTCTGGTAGGCCTGTCACTGATGATTGCCCTGAAGGAAGCTGGCTGCCGTGCTGATGCACAGGCCCTGCAGCTCCAGCTCCACCGCCAGGGGGGTATCCGTGCTACCCAGATCCTCACCCGACATCTTCAACGGCTGGAGAAAGGCAGAGACACAGAGAGGGGAGTGTCAGTGGATGCCCTGGCCTCTGCTCTGCAGCTGTTGACCAGGGAACAGCTGGGCCCAGAAAGGGCCCGACGCTCCCTCAGCCAGGACTGCGACTTTGAACAGGAGCAGGAGGTGTACGATATAGTCCGTTGGGTGCCAACCGTGGGAACCTACTACAACCTGGGCACAGCTTTGTTTTATGCCACTCATGACTGTTTGGACAAGGCCAAGGAACGAGGCCAAGATGGGATCATAGACCTGGGTTATGACCTTTTAACGACCATGGCTGGACTGACGGCGGGGCCTATGGGACTAGTGTTCAGCGCTGCACTTAAACCTGTAGTGAAGGCTGGGGTTCAACGGTTGACCCAGAATTACCATGTGTAAGAGGCAGCCCAGCCTATGTGGGTCTTTGGTTGATCAGCGACCTATGAACCACGAGATTGCCGTTCGATTCTGGCCAGGGCATGTGCCCCAGTGTGGGGTGTGCAGGAAGCAGTCAGTCAATGATTCTCTCATCGATGTTTCAATCTCTCTTTCCCTCTCCCTTCCTCTCTGACATCAATAAAAAATATTTTTAAAGAGAGGCAAACACCCCTCCTCCAGAGACTACTAGCAAAGAGGGCTTGGGCAGCACCTCCATGGTGGCCCCTTTGGTGTTGGATGTTGTGAATTCAGCTCCTTACTGGGAGTGGCCCTTCATATTCCAGGACTACGAATATGATCCCGAGAAAGAGTTTTGGAATATAAAAGGTGGTAAACACAGAATAAATAAACCTATTATTATAAATCCGACCAGCTGTGTGCAGAGTCCAAATTCCTGATTTGTTAACGGGGAGGAAGGCAGTGCTACAAAATGTTTGGGGTTTGGCATCTGAGGGTTTGGTTCTCTTAATCCAGGCTCCACTTGTTTGAGCCTCGATGACTACTGACTACAAACTTCTTTCTCCAAGCTCAGTCATTAAAATGTCTAAAGGGGGGGATGATGATTTTCAGTTCTATGGGGTTTGTGGAAATTTAAAAAAAAAAGAAAAAAAAGTACAAGGAACCTAAAGCTTTTAGCACAGAACCATCAGTAAATGTTATTTTGTTACTACTTCGGCCCTCCCCTTCCGATCCTAAAATGTTGACATTCGGGTCCCACCCCTCCTTGCGGAGCCCTAAGCGATTCCCAGGACCGAGCTAGTCTCATTTCCTCGTCTGCCCGGCGGGTTCTCGGAAATCAGCAGCGTCAGTCCGGGGCTATTCCGTTAATGGGACTCCTCCCTCCGCAGACGTGGGGCGGGGCTTGCTCGATGTTTTCCCACCAATCGCTGGAGCCGAGGGAGTGGCTTATGCCTCCCTGGCCCCGCCCCGCGGAAAGAGAGGCGCTGAGGCGGAGCCAATGAGCTCACGGCCTGGGGCCTGGAGGCGGGAGACGCTGGTGCGGAGCTCCGGGTGGGGAAAGGAAGCCGCGACCAGAGCCGCCGGAGGGAGGGGACCGAGCCCCCCGCCAGGTACGACCCCGAGGGCGCGCGCGGGAGTTGGGGGGTGGAGGCGCGAGCTGCCCCCTGGGAAGGGCGCCTGGCCCGGGAGCGCTGACCCTGTGACATAGGCGCTGTCACCTCCTGCAACCTGAGCACCCCCACCTGGTCGGGTCTAGGTCCCCAGCTGTAGCCCCCCGCTCCCCTCTCCCCTAAATTCCCCGCACCCTCCAAGACCCGCAACTTGACATTGTTGCCCTGGCTTAGGGCCTTGCGATACTTTTGATTCTCATTCCCCCTTACACACACACACACACACAATCAATGTCTAAGGGTAGGTTTGTCATCCTTATTTGTTTTGTTAAGAAGCATAATATAGCTGAAACCGGTGTGGCTGTGGATAGAGCGTCGGCCTGTGGACTGCAAGGTCCCAGGTTCCATTCGGGTCAAGGGCATGTGCCTTGGTTGCGGGCACATCCCCGGTGGGAGGTGTGCAGGAGGCGGCTGATCGATGATTCTCTCTCATCGATGTTTCTAACTCTCTATCCCTTTTTCTTCCTCTCTGTAAAAAAATCAATAAAATATATTTTTTTAGAAAGAAAGAAAGAAAGAAAGAAAGAAAGAAAGAAAGAAAGAAAGAAAGAAGTCAAGGTTGACAGAACTTAAAATAAATAAATAAATAAATAAATAAAAATAAAAAATAAAAAAGCATAATATACCGCCCCAGCCGGGCGGCTCAGGTTGTCAGAGCATGCTCCCCGTACTCCGATTAGGGCACATACAAGAAGCAACCAATGAATACATCCAATGGAACAAACATCAATGTTTCCCTTTCTCTCTAACTAAAATCAATTTTTTAAAAAAGGTTTTTTAAGTAGAAGATAAAGCCCTGGCCAGTGTTCTCACTGGTTAGAACGTGCACCTGCACACCGAAGGATTCAGGTGAAGGCTTGTACCTGGGTTGTAGTAGGTTGGATGCCTGGTTGGGCGCCTGTGGGAGGCAACCGATGGAAGTTTCTTCTTCACATCGATGTTTCTGTCTTGCCTTTCCTGTTCTAAAACTCAGTGAAAACATACCCCTCCATCCCCTAGCCAGTTTGGCTCAATGGATAGAGTCTGTCTGTGGGCTGAAGGCTCCCGGTTCGATTCCAGTCAAAGCTATATGTCTGGGTTGCAGACTCAGTCCCCAGTAGGGGGCGTGCAGGAGGTAGGCAGTTAGTGGTTCTCTCTCATTGATGTTTCTGTCTCTCTCTCCCTCTCCCTTTCAGAAATCAATAAAATTAATTTTAAAAAAAGTACCCTTCAGCCTGGCCTGAATGACTTAGTGGTCAACCTATAAACCTGGAGGTCTTGGATGGATTCCTGGTCAGGGCATATATGTATAAACATATATATATATATATATATATATATATATATACACACACACACACACACACACACACATACATATCGTTGGTGAGAATTAAAAATAAATAAGTAAAGATAGTTGATTTTTTTTAAAAAAGAGGTTTGTTTGTTTTCATATTTAAACCTCAGGGTTTGCTAGTTGCCTTACTCTTTTATTGTCTTTGTTTTTTTGTTTGTTTTTGTCTTGTTTCTTTTTTAAAAAATATATTTTATTGATTTTTTTACAGAGAGGAAGGAAAAGGGATAGAGAGTTAGAAATATCCATGAGAGAGAAACATCAATCAGCCGCCTCCTGCATACCCCCTACTGGGGATGTTCCCGCAACCACGACACATGCCCTGGACCAGAATCGAACCCAGGACCCTTCAGTCCACAGGCCAATGCTCTATCCACTGAGCCAAATGGTTAAGGCTCCTGTTGTTTCTTATATTGCCTTACTCTTTTAATACCAGCCAATTCGTTCCTTGAGAACTGGAGCCTTTTCTTCTTATCCTTATTCTTTTTTAATGCAGTACAGGTGTACATAGTTTAAAAGGTCAAGCATTACTAAAAGGCTTAAAGTGAAAAATAAGACCCTGCCCAATCCTGTCCTTCCTCTGTTCCTAATTCTTGGAGGTAGAAAGACAACTCATAATTATTCATACTGGTGGAAACAATTTCTCTAGGCCCTAAATTTTTCTTTGATTTATAATAAAATCATATGACATGTTTAGACCACAGAAGTGCATGTTTGTTCTTTTCTGTAAGGTTGAGGTTGCAACAAGAGTAAGTTTTAATTTCCTAAACAGACAGATGGCAGTGGGTGGGGCAAGCTAGGGAGAAAGATTCTCTGCCTAGTCTACTTGGTGACAGGCAAAAACCAGTTTTGAGTGAAGTTTCTGAGTCTCTGGCAAATTTGATACTACACATGAAGATTCAGAGATCAACAAAGATCATAGAAGGTGACACAGTCTTAGGGATTAAATGACCCCTTGCACAGCTTTTACTTTTATTTTTTAAAATATTTTTATTGATATCAGAGAGGAAGGAAGAGGGAGAGAGAGATAGAAACATCAATGATGAGAGAGAATCATTTATCAGCTGCTTCCTGCATGCCCCACACTGGGGATCGAGCCCACAACCCAGGCATGTGCCCTGACTGGGAATCAAACCATACCTCCTGGTTCATAGGTCAATGCCCAACCACTGAGCCATGCTAGTTGGGCCCCTTGCACAGCTTTTAAACATCTAGAACGCAGCTCTTACTTTCTACTTGGAGAGCAGTTTATAGAGCACTAAAGGACAGATGCACTCGGGGGGGGGGGGGGCAGGCGTCCCTCAGCCCAGCCTGCACCCTCTCACAGTCTGGGAGCCGTCGGGGGATGTCCAACTGCCTCCTTAGGCCTGCTCCCTGCACTGCCTTAACTCCCACCACTGCTGCTGCCCTTGCCAGCCACGGGCCCAGCTTCTGTCTGAGCAGTGCTCCCCCTGTTGGAGTGTACTGAACACCAGGGGGCAGCTCCTGCATTGAGCATCTGCCCCCTGGTGGTCAGTGTGCATCATAGTGACCAGTTGTTTTGCTGTTTGATCAATTTGCATAATAGCCTTTTATTATATAAGATACTAGAGGCCTGGTGCACAAAATTCATGCATGGGTAGCGTCCCTAGGCCTGGCCGGCAATCAGGGCTTTCTGACTGCCGGCTGGGGCTTTCCTTCCCCAGCTGCCCTCCACCAGCTGGGGCCTTCCTTTGTTCCTTGCTGCCCCCTGGTGGTCAGTGCATGCCATAGCAAGCTAATGAACTCGCAGTCTCCCAGTCGAACTCCTGAGGGGACATTTTGCATATTAGACTTTATATATATAAATTTTATCTCCAAGGAGGTTTCAGCCCCTGATAAAGCTTTGGAGCCAGCAGGGATCATACTGAAGTAAATACTTATGACCCTCACCATCTTTAAATGCTCTAGCACAGTGGTCAGCAAACTCATTAGTCAACAGAGCCAAATATCAACAGTACAACAATTGAAATTTCTTTTGAGAGCCAGATTTTTTAAATTGAAGCTTCTTCTAATGCCACTTCTTCAAAATAGACTCACCCAGGCTGTGGTATTTTGTGGAAGAGCCACACTCAAGAGGCCAAAGAGCTGCATGTGGCTCGCGAGCCGCAGTTTGCCTACCACGGCTCTAGCATAAACAAATACAAACGTATCATATGTAAAAGCCAAAGCGACCAGTTGACTGTTAGATCAGTCAACCAGTAGCTAGGATGCGCACTGACCACCAGGAGGCAGACATTCGATGCAGGAGCTGCCCCCTGGTGGTCAGCGCGCTCCCACGGTGGAAGCGCCTCTCAGATGACCAACAGTGTACCAAACCCTAGGGTCATGGCTGGAGAGCACGCACTAATATTGCCTTAGGACAGGCACGTGGAGACCACAGCGGAGTGGCAGGAGCCTACGGAGTGGTGGTGGCAGGCAGGTGCAGCGGGACCTGGGCTGGGCTTGGACTCCTCCACGGCTGCCTGCCACTTCGCCACTGCTCCATCCCCTGGAGGATATAGGACTGCCGGTTTTGGCCAGTCCCCCCAGCCCAGGCCAAGCGACCCACCCGTGCATGAATCTGTGCACCGGGCCTCTAGTAAGTTTATAATAAACTTATGCACCGGCGGGGTCCCTCAGCCTGGCCAGCGATCTGGGCCGATCGGGGCCGGCTGGCCAGCGGGAGGGACTGCAGGAGAGGGGCCGGCCGGGGGAGGTTGGCTGTGGGAGTGCACTGACCACCAGGGGGCAACTCCTGGTAGTCAGTGCATCGTCATAGCAACTGGTCGACTGGTTGAGTGGTTGGCCGGTCATAATGATCACTTAGGCTTTTATATATATAGATGTATTGGGGGAGATAGATTTACAAGTGATAGAAACATCATTAATGTTTGGTGAAGATGAGGGATTGGTACATGGACGATCCTTGTACTATTCACTATACTTTGGTATGTGTTTGAAAACTACCACTAAAACAAAAAGGAGCTCTTAAATAGTACTCCCTGGAAGAATATGTGCCAAACTAATAATATTGGTTTCTGGAGAGGAGGGGAAGAGACCAAGATTGGGAGTGGGGGTCTATGTCTCTCTCCCCATCCCTTCCTCTCTGAAACCAGTAGACACCCCCTTTTTTCTCTTACCTGTATAACTAAAGACATTTTTAATGTGTAATAACGAAGTATCATGACACTGTGGGTGACTTAGCCCAGCAAACGCTACAATTGGGAACCTAAACCCTTCAGACTCGGATCCCAAATGGCGCAGTGGGAGATGCTGCAGGATCTCGACAGCCCGTTCCAGGAGCAGCTGCACCAGCTCTATGCAAACAGCCTCCTGCCGGTGGACATTCGGCAGGACCTGGCGGTGTGGATCGAAGACCAGAACTGGTGAGGCCCTCGGAAAGCTGGGTGGTGGGGAATGAGGAGAATGGGATCCTGTGAACACCGATGGCGGGAGGGGTTAGAAGGCCTGAAGACAGTAGCAGCCCTTCAGAGATACTCCTCTCTGCCCTTCCTGGTGTCCAGGCAGGAAGCTGCGCTGGGCAATGACCATTCCCAGGCTGATATGCTCTGCTTCTACTTCCTGGAACAACTAAACGAAGAGTGTGCCCGCTGCAGCCAGGACCCCGAGTGCTTGTTGTTGCAGCATAACTTGCGAAAATTCTATCGGGACATTAAGGTACTGGAGGAGAGGCAGTAACGAAGTAGGAAGGGGAGCTGGAGAGCAGGGCTCTGGGTGTAGAACAGGGCCTGGAGGTGCAGAGGGACAGGGGCAGACCTGGGGAAGGGAACAGAGTCTGGATGTGGGGGCCGCTGGCAGAGAGAAGGTCAGTGTTCAGATGAACCTGTTGGGAAGAGACGAGAGTCTGTGGACCCGTGGTGAGAGAGGGAAGGGCTGGGACCCTGAGGGAGGGGAAGGATTGCACCACTGATGGGAGTGTTCATTGGAGGCAGTTGAATGGGATCAATCTCTCTTTGCCTCGTGCAGGCCTTACCCCGGGGCCCTATCCAGTTGGCTGAGATGATCTTCAATCTCCTTCTGGAAGAAAAACGAATTCTGATGCAGGCTCAGAGGGCTCAAGTGGTGAGGGCAGTTCGCTGTTGGCATGGAAAGCCCCTGGAGGGGAGGGGCCGTGGGGAGGACTCAGGACATTTGTCTCAGAATAAGACCCCCAAGTAGCCTTGTTATGTAATTTCAGGGCTGGACTTTAGGGATGGAAGGTCAGAGTTGACTGTGCTCAGAGCCTCTTTGTTTCAGGAGCAAGAAGAGCCAGCCCCCGAAGCACCTGTACAGAGCCAGCAGCATGAGATCGAATCCCGGATCCTGGAATTAAGGGCTATGATGGAGGTTGGTAGATGTGGCAAGAGTCAGGGTGGGCAGGATTCAGCCTGCCTCCTGCCACAGCAGCAGCCTCAGCTGGGTCCCCTCCCCTCCGCAGAAGCTGGTGAAGTCCGTCAGCCAGCTGAAGGACCTGCAGGATGTCTTCCTCTTCCGATTCAACACTCAGGCCCGACGTAGGCAGCTCGCTGCGGGGTGGGGGAAGGACAGGTCCCTGCGGGAGGCTGAGGGTGGAAGAGAGCAGCAGGGGAAAGTCCCAGTAAAGAGGAATCACCTTTGGCTGCACCTCTCTGACTGTAGTCCCCCCGCCATGCAAAGCTACAGGGCCAGGGTCTGCTGTGGGGGTTGGGCTGGAGGTGTGGCTGAGGGACAGCGAGCGAGTGCTGGGTAGACGGAGTAGGCTTCTGTTTCAAGCACGGTCATTGAGAATTCGCCCGAGGGCCCAGAGGGATCTGTGCTTTGCTTTGGTTCCCCTTCCTCTCCTGTCAGAATTCCCCCTTCCCGACTCGGACCGAGGCCTAGGTCAGGAAGGCGAGGGGAAGGAGCCCTCGGGCTGAGCACTTGTCTCACTTCCTGCTCCTGCCGTCCAGCGAGGACACCTCTGGACCCCCATCAGACCAGACAGGAGCAGATTCTGCAGGCAACTCTCAATGAACTGGACAAAAGGAGAAAGGTGGGAGGCAAAGCAGGCAGGGCGTGGGCAGCAGGGGACGGGGAAACGAGGGGGCTGGGAGCCTGGGCTTTCCCGTCCCTGTATCCCCAGTTGGATGGCGGGGGAAGATGGTGGGAGGTGCTCCCCACGCACTCACATCTTTCTTAGGAGGTGCTGGATGCCTCCAGAGGACTGCTCGGCCGACTGACCACCCTAACGGACCTCCTGCTGCCCAATCTGGAGCAGTGGAAAGCCCAGCAGCAGAGAACCTGCATCGGAGCCCCCGCGGAGGGAGGGCTGGAACTGGTCCAGCTGGAGAAGTGGTGAGAGGCACTCCCCGCCCTCGTGCTCCCCCTGCCTCGTCCTAGCCACCGCCCTGAGCTTTGTGATGTCCTGTATACGGCTAAGAGGGATTGCTTTCCTAATCCCTGCTCCCCAGAAGGACCCCAGCTCCCTTATCTGAGTACAACTGTACTCTGCTCTTCATTCTCGCTACCCAGAGCCCTTCATTTTTGGATATTTCTTTATTTAAATATATTTTTATTGATTTCAGAGAGGAAGGGAGAAGGAGAGAGAAAAACATCAATGATGAGAGAGAATCATTGATTGGCTGCCTCCTGCACACCCCCTACTGGGTACCGACTGCAACCCCGGGTATGTGCCCTTGACCGGAATCGAACCTGGGACCCTTCAGTCCACAGGCCGACGCTCTATCCACTGAGCCAAACCAGCTAGGGCAGCAGAGCCTTTCATTTTAATCACCTGGGAGGTATACTCCTTCTGTTTGTGCAATGAACATAATGCAAAAAAAGAGAAAATTATTTATTACCTTACTACCCAGATGTAGCCACTGTAACATTTTTAAACAAAAATTGAGCCCTAGCCAGTTTGGCTAAGTTGGAAGAGTGTCAGCCTTACAGGCTGAGGGGTCCCAGGTTCGATCCTGGTTGAGGGCACATGCCTGGGTTTCAGGCTCAATCCCCAGTGTGGGTGTGCAGGGGGCAGCCGATCAATGATTCTCTCTCATCAGTGATGTTTCTACCTCTCTTTCCCTCTCCCTTTCTTTCTGAAATCAATAAAAAATATATATATTTTTAAATTGAATCCTACTGTTCATACTATTTTGAGATACGTAGATTTGTTTTGGTTTTTTTTCTTTTTGGCCTTAGCAGTATATTATAATATTCCCCCACTAGAGGCCCAGTGCATGGAATTTGTGCAAGAGCAGGCCTTCCTTCTCCTGGCTGCCGGCCCCGGCTTCCTGCTAGCACCCAGGACCCGAGCTTCCCTCACAGCCCAGCTTCGCCCAGACAGTCGTCCGAAAGGATGTCCTGATAGTCATTCTGCTGTTCGGTCTAATTAGCCTATTAACTCTTTAATATATAGGATGTTACTTTCAATGGCTGCATTATTGTCCTCTATATGGAGGTAACATAATTTAATTAATGAACTATTATTTTTGGACATTTGGGTTGTTTTTAATTTCTTGCTATTTTTCTAGTAAACTTTTTATTTTATATTTATTTTAAAAATATATATTTAAATTTATTTCAGAAAAGAAAGGAAAGGGAGAGATAAAAACATCAAAGATGAGAGAGAATCATTGATCGGCTGCCTCCCGCACGCCCACTCCTGGGGATCAGCCTGCAGCCTGGGCATGTGCCCTTCACCGGAATTGAACCCAGGACCCCCCAGTCCACAGGCCAACGCTGTATCCACTGAGCCAAACCAGTTAGGGTTCATTGTTTTTGTTTTTTAATTTTTTGTCTTAGTACATTTATTTGTTTGTGGGTTTTTGTTTTATTTTTGTCAGTCCTCACCTGAGGATATGTTTCCTTTTATTTTTCTTTGTTAAGAGACAGTGGCAGAGGGAGAGACAAAGAGAAACATCAATGGTGGGTTGCCTCCCGCACATGAGGCTGGGGATTGAGCCTGCAGCTGAGGTACATGCCCTTGACCTGAATCAAACCTGTGACCCTTCAATCTGCAGGCTGATTCTCTATCCACTGAGCCAAACTGGCTAGGGCAAGAGTACATTTATTCAATGTGGCGACAGTGAAACCAGGAAGGGCCTCGGCTAGAAGAAGCAGTAGGAGTCAGCCTGGGCGGGGCTGCCTTGGCTCTAGAAACGTTATGGAAAGAAGTGAGCAAAGGCAGGGCTGCTGTCAGCTCATGGAGAGTCAGGGAAATGGGGGCCATGAGGACAGGTTCGAGGTTAGTCTGGCAGGAGCTGCCGCTATACATTGCTCCCTGGTCCCAAGTCTCATGGGGATCCTTAGAGTTCAGGAGATGCGTGGCTGGGGGAAAGAAGAAGGGTGAGGGAAAGGAGCCTGCATGCTCCCAGGAATGAGAGCTTGTCTTGCTTCGTTGTTTTTTAATAAAATTTTTAAAAATTGCCTTTTCTGATTATAAATACAATGTATACCAATTTAAAAAGTTTCAGACAACATAAAAGAGTAAAGAATGCCCATCCTGGGTATGGCTCAGCAATTAAGCACCAACCCAGGAATCAGGAGGTCACTGGTTCAATTCCTGGTCAGGGCATATGCCCAGGTTGTGGGCTTGGTCCCCAGTTGGGGGGCATGCAAGAGGCAGCCAATCAATGATTCTCTCTCATCATTCATGTTTCTACCTCTCTCTCCCTTTGCCTCCCTCTCTGAAATCAATAAAAATATATTAAACATAATAATAATTTTAAAAAGAGGCTGAGAATCCAAGATGGCTGCTCGGGTAGGCAACTAGCCGTAGCCGCACACAACAATTTCAACAAAATACAACTAAAATATAAAATGGACATTACCCAGAACTACAGGAAAGTCGACTGACTGGAAATTCTACAACAAGAAGCAAGGAGAAAACCAGAAGGAAGCGCGGAGGAGCTGTAAAAGCCCAAGGTACGGAGACACGTGGAGCGCGCAGAGAGGACAGAGCCGGAGAGGAGGGAGGCCGAGTGCCTGGCTGGCGGTCCCAAGCGGGAGGGAGAGAAAAGCTCCGACTGTGCTGGGCCCAGCTCCAACTGCTCTGAACCCCAATTCTCGGCCAGACCCCGGGGACCCAGGCTCATCCATAGGGAGCGGGGCTGTAAGGTGGGACTCCGGGGAAGCGGCGAAAGGAGTCCCGGAGGCGCGCACACTGCGTGCAGAGAAGGGCCGGCCGGCTGTGCCGCGGGATTGCCCTAACGGGAAGGAGACAGGGGCTCCAGACTGCTCTGAACGCCACCTCCAATCCCACGACCAACTGAACTGAACCCCAATACCGGACTCATTGGGGGAGAGCATAGACAGTTTGGCAGCAGGCGAAAATCGAGGGCACCTTTCTCTCAGAGGCGCTCGCAACAAGTACTGAAGGACCCTCAGTCTCAGGAGTAGCATAGGGCGGGGCTGACGGAAGCCAAGGCTGTAGGCTCCACCCTGAAACCCCGCCCCATCAGGAAAGCTGCCTGCAAAAATGCCTAAACCAAATACTGTAGATCACAAACGAAAGAAATGGAGGATAAAAAGCGACTGGATATAGAGTTCAAAACCACACTTATAAGGTTGTTCAAGAAAAGGCCGATAAAATAAACAAGACCTATGAGGATATGAAAAGGGATCAACTAGAAATAATAAGGGATCAACAAGAAATAAAGAATACATTGTCTGAAATAAAAAATATTTTATGGAGTCCTAAAAACAGAATGGAAGATCGCAAGAATCAAGTCAAAGATTTGGAACATAAAGAGCCAGAAGACACTCCTCCGCAGAAGCTAGAAGGCAAGAGAATCCAGAAAGTTGAAGATAATGTAAGAAACCTCTGGGACAACTTCAAGCGAACCAACATCAGAATTATGGGGGTCCCAGAAGGTGAGAGAGAGCAAGATATTGAAAACATACTGAAAGAAATAGTGACAGAAAACTTCCCCCACCTGGTGAAAGAATTAGACTTACAAGTCCAGGAAGTGCACAGAACTCCAAACAAAAGGAATCCAAAGAGGACCAAGACAAATCATAATTAAGATTCCAAGAGCAAAAGACAAAGAGAGAATATTAAAAGAAGCAAGAGCAAAGAAGGTAGTTACCTATAAAGGAGCACCTATACGATTGTCAGCTGATTTCTCAACAGAAACCATGCAGGCCAGACGGGAATGGCAAGAAATATTCAAGGTGATGAATAGCAAGAACCTACAGCCAAAGATAATCTATCCAGCAAAGCTATCACTCAGATTCGAAGGTCAGATAAAGAGCTTCACTAATAAAAAAAAGCTAAAGGAGTTCATCACCACCAAACCAGAATTATATGAATTGCATAAGGGGGTTCTTTCAGAAGAGAACGTAAATAAAGATAAAAATTATGAACAACAAATACGTAACTATCAACAAGTGAATCTAAAAACCAAGGAAACTAAAAAAAAAAAAAATCTGATGAACAATATTAACTGTTGAACATAATAGAATCAGAGGTATGGAAGGGGAGTGAACTGACGATTCTTGGGGAAAAGGGGAGAGGGGGACGTGGGAAGAGACTGAACATAAACTGTGCACCTATGGATGAGGACAATAGGGAGTGGGGAAAGGGCAGAGGGTGGGGTGAGAAGGGGGGGGAAAGGAACATTTGTAATAATATGAACAATAAAAATTTATTTAAAAAAATTTTTAAAAAATAAAAATAATAATTTTAAAAAGAAAAGAAAAAAGAAATCAACCATCTGTTTGATATAATCATGCAGAGAGAGGTACCCTCTGTTTATGCTTTTGCATACTTTTTCCAGATTTCCCCTATGCCTATACACAAAAATACATCTATTTTAAGCAGAAGTCAAATCATATCCTATCTATACTATCTTGTAATTTTTTAAAATTTTAATATTTGTGGACATTTTTCCATGCTAAATATTTGAGCCTATATCATTATATTTAATGGTTGCATTACATGTATATGCCATAATTTATATACCTAATAATCAAGTGTTTCTCATTTTCTATGACAAATAACAAAGCTATGAATTTCTTGGTACATTTATCTTTGTCCATTTGTCTGATTATTTTCTTAGGATATATCTTAGAAATGGAATACTATAAAATGTATGCACACTTTTTGAGTATTTTTAAAAAAATAGTTTCAGTTGAAACTGGTTTGGCTCAGTGGATAGAGCGTCGGCCTGCGGATTGAAAGGTCCTAGGTTTGATTCTGATCAAGGGCATGTACCTTGGTTGTGGGCACATCTCCAGTTGGGGGTGGTGTGTGCAGGAGGCAGCTGATGGATATTTCTCTCTCATAAATGATTCTAATTCTCTGTCCCTCTCCCTTCCTCTCTGTAAAAAAAAACAATAAAATACATTTTAGCCGGCACCGGTTTGGCTCAGTGGATAGAGCGTCGGCTTGCGGACTGAAAGGTCCCGGGTTCGATTCCGGTCAAGGGCATGTACCTTCGTTGTGGGCACATCCCCAGTAGGGGGTGTGCAAGAGGCAGCTGGTCGATGACTCTCTCTCATCGATGTTTCTAACTCTCTATCCCTCTCTCTTCCTCTCTGTGAAAAATCAAAATATATTTAAAAAATATATATATATATATATATAATAAATAAATAAATAGTATATATCAAGCATCATATGAAAGTTAGCTTTATTATGTCCATCTTTTACCAATTTTAATGTGAAAGTGACTTTGATTTTCATTTCTTGGATTATGAACCATGTTGAATAATCAATGTTTCCTGGATTTTTTTTTCTTTTTTTTTTTTTTTTGTCCAATCAGTTTCAGTTCTCCAGAGTTAAAGGGGAGCTCTCCGAGCCTGTTTGGGGGCTCCGGGAAACTCACGGGTTCTCTCTCCCCCGGTTCCATCCCTCAGGTTCACAGACGGAGCCCAGCTCTTGTTTCACCTGCGGCAGCTGCTGAAGGAGCTGAAGGACTTGAGCCATGTCAGCTATGACAACGACCGGCTGGCCTCAGGGGCGGACCAGCAGCAGGCCCGGGCCACAGAGCTGCTGCGGCACCTGCTCCACAGGTTGAGAGGCCACGGCGGGCCCTCCGGGAGGGAGGCGCAGGGGAGCCGCTCTGACAGGTGCTGAGCTTCGAGTCTCTCCCCCTTCTCCTCGCAGGGCCTTTGTGGTGGAGAGCCAGCCATGCATGCCTCAGACTCCCCACCGCCCCCTCGTCCTCCGCACCGGGAGCAAGTTCACCGTCCGAACAAGGTTGGCGTTTCAGATTCCTTCCTGACTCCTTTTTCCAGTCCTGGCACTGCTCGCTCTCTGGCTTTAAAGATCTTCCCACGCTTGGCTGTTCCTTCTCTTCCCCCCCAATCAATCTGCCTCTTCTAACCTCTTCCCTGATCTTTTCAAACATCGGGTCTGTTCCTTCTCTTCCCCGCCCCCCTTCCCGCCCCCCCTCAATCAATCTGCCTCTTCTAACCTCTTCCCTGATCTTTTCAAACATCGGGTCTGTTCCTTCTCTTCCCCGCCCCCCCTCCTGCCCCCCCTCAATCAATCTGCCTCTTCTAACCTCTTCCCTGATCTTTTCAAACATTGGGTCTGTTTGGAGTTGAAATTGACCCCTCTCTCCTCCCCAGACTGCTGGTGAGGCTGCAGGAAGGCAGCGAGTCACTGACTGCAGAAGTCTTTATTGACAAGTAAGTTGGAGCAGGTGAAAGGTGGGGCCAAGGAGTGGCCTGGCTGTGGGCTGAGGGGTGGGCCGAGGGGACCCCTCCTTGTCCCGAAGGCGCTGGGGCTGTGTTCTTCCCCATTTCATTCCTACCTCATAGAAATAACAGTTCATCCTTTTGTGAGCACCTACTCAAACAAAGGCATGCAGCTTGTCCAATACTCAATTGTCGAGAAACCCTAGGCGTTTGCTGTTATCAATGCACCCTCAGACAAAAACAGGCTTGGCGAGATGATGTGTCTTGAAGGCCTCAGAGCTAGTGAGCTGCAGATTTGGGGTTGAACTTAGGTCTGTCTGATCCCAAAGACCAGATTCCTAATGTCTATGCTGTTTTGCTTCCCAATGACAATTATTTTGTTTCTTTTCAGGAATCCTCCTCAATCACAGGGGTAGGTACCTGACGACCTCTGTGCACTGCGTGAGCGCACAGCCTCCTGCGGCAGCCTGGGGCCCCGGCGGGAGAGGTCGATTGGGGCGGCATATGAGCAGCGGGAGGGGGAGCGGTCTGAAATGAAACGGGACTTCTGTTGTTTTCCTGCTGAGTTTTAGAATAACTCTGCTCCCGTCCTTCCGATGTTTTCTTCCTCCTGGAACAGCTTCCGGAAGTTCAACATTCTGACCTCAACCCAGAAAACGTTGACCCCCGACAAAGGGCAGAGTCAGGGCTTAATTTGGGACTTCGGCTATCTGGTAAGAGGCTAGTGGCTTATATTTCTAGGCCTTGGGAAGTCTTGTGGGCAAAACGGGTTCCAGGGATGCTGGGTCCCTCCTCTGGCACTCTCTCTCCTTCCCCTCAATCCACAGACTCTGTTGGAGCAACGTGCGGGCGGCTCAGGAAAGGGCAGCAGCAAGGTGAGGCCGGACAGAGGGATGGGGGGGGGGGCAGGAGGCGCATGCCCCAGGGCCCTCTGCTCACGGCCCTGGCTGTCCCAGGGTCTGCTGGGCGTGACAGAGGAACTGCACATCATCAGCTTCACGGTCAGATACACCTACCAGGGGCTGAAGCAGGAGCTGAAAGTGAGTGGCAGCGGGCGCTGGAGAGATGAAGCGGGGCTGGGAGAGGGCGTCGGGAGGGGCCGCAGAAGCCTCTCTGGTGAAGATTGCCCCTCGCCCCACCCCAGTGTCCGCAGCTGGAATCCCCACAGCCTCCGCTCTGACCCTGTCCTCTCCCCAGGCAGACACCCTCCCTGTGGTGGTCATTTCTAACCCGAACCAACTCTCCATCGCCTGGGCCTCCATTCTCTGGTTCAATCTGCTCAGCTCAGACCCTCAGGTAGGAGGCGGGGCCGGCAGGCGAAGCGGGTGAGGCGGGGTGGCAGCTTGGTGTAGGAGCTGCTCGGAGCCATCCGGTCCTCTTCCCGTACCCACAGAATCAGCAGTTCTTCTCCAGCCCCCCGAAGGCCCCCTGGGCCTTACTGGGCCCCGCGCTCAGTTGGCAGTTCTCCTCCTACGTTGGCCGAGGCCTCGACCGGGACCAGCTGAACATGCTGAAGGACAAGCTGTTTGGTACGCACCTCCTTTCCCGCAGCCCCAGCCCTCTGTCCGTCCCACCCCAGGAGCCCTGGCCTGGCCTCCTCCCATCCTCTAACGGGCTTTCCGTCCACAGGGCAGAACTCTGGGAGCGAGGGGGCGTCGTTGTCCTGGGCCGACTTCACCAAGGTAACGGCACCCTGCATCCCGGGCGGCCAGGTCCCAGCCCCCATCCGAACCCGCCCCTCCCCCGCCCCTCCCCCATCCCTCCTCCCCCAGCCCTCCTCCCCCGCCCCTCCTCCCCCGCCCCGAGGGCAACCCCACGCCTCCCCGCTCTTCCGCTCCTCCTGCAGCGAGAGAGCCCGCCGGGAAAGCTGCCGTTCTGGACGTGGTTAGACAAGATCCTGGAGCTGGTCCATGACCACCTGAAGGATCTCTGGAATGATGGGTGAGACCGCTCAGCCTCCTCCTCCCTGGACCAGCCGCCTTTCGAGGCTTGAGTGGGCTCTGGGCGCCCTCCTGTGGCCAAGAGGGAGAGAGAGCAAAAACCGGGTCAAGGTCATGCCCGCTCCCATTGGCAATAACAGTGAGAGCCGGGACTTGTGTCAAGCGTCTGCTGTGCTCCAGAGCCTGCTGGGTGCTCTCATGAATTCTCCCGTGTAACCTTACACCCGTGCTGAGGGGGGGGAGTGGCCACCCCATGTCAGGTGAGGAAACGAAGGCTTAGAGCAGTGCTTCCCAAAGTGCGGTACGCGTCCCCCAGGGGCACGGGAGGAGTTTGGTGGGGGTACGCGTTGCACCGGGGTTCGGTGGGGATATGCACCGCACCGTGCTTAGCTGCGCCTAATCCTACCTTCTCGTGAGTACGAGGGGTACTCAGCGTTACGAAAACTATAGAAGGGCTACACATATGTCAAAAGTTTGGGGAACACTGGCTTAGCGGAATTAAAGGGGCTGAGTCAGGGTTCAAAGCCCGGCCGTCTGACCCCAGGCCTGTGCGCTCCCACCCATTTGTTGGGCCCTGAATCCTCAGGCCCCTTCCAGCCCCGGGAGGTGGAATTGTCAGGGGAGCGCAGTGCGGGGGCCACAGGGGCCTCTGCCAGGGGCTCCCTCTCCCCGCCCCGAGGGAGGCCGCTCAGCCGCTGCCGCCCCCCAGGCGCATCATGGGCTTCGTGAGCCGCAGCCAGGAGCGCCGGCTGCTCAAGAAGACGGTCTCCGGCACCTTCCTGCTGCGCTTCAGCGAGACGGCGGAGGGCGGCGTCACCTGCTCCTGGGTGGAGCACCAGGACGATGGTCAGCGCCGCCCCGCCCGCCCCCCGGCTCCGCCCCGAGCCCCCCGCAGGCCTGGGGGTGGGCGGGCAGGCGGAGGGGGGCTCCGGCCGGCCTCCTCCCTCAAGCCCGCCCGCCCCCTCCCCCGCTGCCCAGATAAGGTGCTCATCCAGTCGGTGAAGCCCTTCACCAAGGAGGTGCTGCAGTCGCTGCCGCTGACCAAGATCATCCGCCACTACCAGCTGCTCACCGAGGAGAACGTGCCCGAGAACCCGCTGCGCTTCCTCTACCCCCGCACCCCCCGCGACGAAGCCTTCGGGGGCTACTACGAGGACAAAGGTGAGGGCGCCGCCGCCTGCACGGCTCCTTCTTCCCGACGCTGCTGGGTGACCCCAAGCCAGCAGAGACTCCTAGGGACTGGTTCGCGGGGCCTTGCTCATTGGCAAGGAGAGATCACTGTATCTCAGCGCTGACCCTGCCTCTGTGCCCGTCCCCACAGTCAATCTGGAGGAGCAAAGGAAGTACCTGACGCGGAAGCTCATCGTGGTCTCCAACAGGTGCGACATGACCCCTGCGCCCTCCTCCCCTCCCTGGCGGCTGACGTGGTAACCCAGCCGGTCCAAGTCCAGGCTCCCTGGCCCTCTCTCCTCACCCACAGCTTGCAGTCCTCTAGGTCTCTCCTGCTCTGCTACTCTCTCTCTCTTCTCTATGTCCCTGCTGCCATCCGTCAGCTGTCTCCACAGAGGTTCCCTGATAACAACAGTCATAAGCCCTGATGTTAATGGACATCTGATTGATGCCAAACATGGTACTAGATACTTTTATAACGTTTTTTAAAAATTAAGCCCTGGTTGCCTATACAACCAGAGACCCCCTCTCCAGAATGTATTAAAAAGCTTGATTTCGCCATAAAATTTTTTTTTTTTTAAATGAAGCCCTGTCCTAGTCAATTTGGCTCAGTGCATAGAGCATCGGCCTGCGGACTGAAGTGTCCTGGATTCGATTCCAGTCAAGGGCACATGCCTGGATTGTGGGCTCCGTCCAATGTGCAGGAGGCAGTCAAGCAATGATTCTCTCTCATCATTGATGTTTCTCTCTCTCCCTCTCCCTTCCTCTCTGAAATAAATTTAAAAATATATATATATATTTTTTTTTAAATAATCCTTATGAGAATCTATATGAGTAGGTAATAGGAGCAAGAATCTATACTAATAAAAGGGTAATATGCTAATTAGACTGGGTGACCAGACATGTTCCTGATGTCCGACTTACTTCCAGACAGAGGGCAACCAGGCCAGCAGAGGGCAGTTGGGGGATGGCCAGGCTGGCAAGGGGTGGAGGGTGGGGCATTTGGGAGGCAACCAGGCAGGGGGGCAGTTGAGTAGCCAGGCCAGCAGGTGGGCAGTTGGGGGGCAGCTAGGCCAGCAGGGGGGCAGTTGCAAACTAACCAAGCCAGCAGGGGGCAGTTGGGGGACAACAAGGCAAGAGGAAGTTGGGGGGTGGCCAGGCCAACAGGGGTCAGTTGGAGGGCAGGCAGGAGGGCAGTTGAGGGATCACCAGGCCGGCAGGAGGATGTTGGGGGGCAATCAGGGAGGCAGGCAGGCGAGTGGTTAGGAGCCAGTGGTCCCAGATTGCGAGAGGGATGTCTGACTGCCAGTTTAGGCCCAATTTGCAGGGGTCCCTGGCTGGAGAGGGTGCAGGCCAGGCTGAGGGACCCTCCCCCATGCATGAATTTTGTGCACCAGGCCTCTAGTACTTAATGAAAGTTTATTATCATATACCAGGCACTGGGCTAAATCTTTGTGCCCATTTTCTCATTTATTGAATTTTCATAATAGTCCTGAGACAGACACTGTTATTACCGTCTTCAGCTGAGGAAACAGGTTTAGCACAGTAAAGTGGCATGCTCAATGTCCAGGGCTATGAAATGATCCAGGTCTGTCAGGTTCCAAAGCTCTGCTTTTAACCAGCCTCCTGCCTCTCAAATATTATTGGGTATTGCTGTTCCGATTTTATAGATGATAACTCTGAGGCTCAGAGAAGTTAGTTAACTTGCCTAAGGTCACCCAGCAGGTAAAGTATAGAATTCAAACTCTGATAAGCCTGACTGATGGAATTCAGACTCTGCAAAGCCTATCTTCTTTGTTTGTAATTGATTTTAGAGAGAGCTAGGATGGGAGAGTGAAAGAGAAAAAAACATTCAGAGAGAAACATCAACTTGTTGTTCCACTTATGTATGCATTCATTGGTTGACTCTCATATATGGCCTGATCGGAGATTGAACCCCCAGCCTTGGCATCTCGGGATGACGCTGTAACTGAGTTACCTGGCCAGGGCAGAGCAAAGCCTGTTCTCTTAAGCCCTCTGCTCTGTTACCTTCTTAGATTAGAGAAGTGGCTCTGCTTGCTCTACCATTCTCCAGGCCAGCTTCGCTGCTGAGCACTCTCTTTGTCTGTTGGGATGTCCAGGCAGGTGGATGAGCTGCAGCTACCGCCGGAGCCTAACCTGGAGCCAGAAGTGGAGTCGTTAGAGCTGCCTCTGGAGCTGGCTCCAGGCCCGGAGCTGGATCTAGGGCTAGACCTGGAGTTGGAGCCACTGCTGAAGGCAGGGCTGGACCTGGGGCCACCACTGGAGCCTGCACTGGACGGGGTATCCCCAAGAATGCCGGACCTGGCACCAGAGCTGAAGCTGGAGCCTCTTCTAGAGCCTGTTTCACAGCCCATGCCAGAGGCAGAGCCAGAGTCAGACTTGCCCCACGATCTGAGACACTTGAACACTGAGGGAATGGAAAGTAAGTGATGAGACGGGGCTGGGGAGAAGGGGGTGCCTTCCTTTCCCCACTTCGCTTCCCCCCTCCCCCCCATTACAGAACATGCCCATGTCTACGCTCCTCCCGGGAGAGGAGGCTCAGTTCCCATGTGATTCCTTTCCTGGGAAATGGCCACACCAACCCCTGCCCTAGCTAAGTGCCCCCTCAGGCCCTGTCCGGGCCTCTGCTACCTTCTCCCTCACTTTCCTTGCTGGGTTGGGAACCCCTTACCTAAGATCAGAGCCTCACGTGTCTCTCTCTGGACTTCCCAGTCTTCATGAACAACATCGAAGAAATCATGCCAAACGGCGACCCGCTGTTAGCGGGCCAGAGCCCCGTGGAGGAGGCGTGCATCTTCTACCGCAGCCATTTCTTCGCAGACGGCCCCTTGACTCCTGACTACTAGGAACTACGTTTCCTCTCTTCTTTCCATCTCTTACCCCGTACCAATCCCTACATCACGGTGTCGCTCTCCCAGGATGGGGAATCAAGCACGTGCCCCTCCAAGCTGGGTTAACGGCCTGATTTGAAGTGTAATATGGGTTAGAAGAGGGCACCAGTGAACCAGAACGGATGTTGGCCATCGCCCAACGTAGCATCCCGGAGGCTGCCTGCTGTGCTGGGAGGAGTAGCGGTTTTAGGAACAGGCCGGGGCAGTTCGGAGGTACTTGGAGGGCTCAGAGAAGTCGCTTCTTTCCAGGATGGGAGAATTTCCACGTTTTAACAGCTGGAAAGACTAACCTGGCGCCCACTGGCATTGGCCCGCAGTGCGGAACGGACCTGTGGCAGGACTCCATGTCTCCTCCCTCATGGCAAAGACGGCCTTCTCCTTTCTCCCTCCCCTCACTCTGGTCCTAAGTTTCCTCTTTTCCTGCAGGGACTGAGCGCTTCCTGCTCAGCCACACTGTGAAGCTCCCCTCTGAAGACGGAAGTAGGAGGTAGACCTCTTCTCCTCTTCTTACCTGTCCCTCCCGCCGCCCTCCAGAGCCAGGGCTAAGCCTGCAGGTAGAGCCACCACTAAAGGCAGGGCTGGCCCCGGGGCCTTTAGCACTGGCCACATCCATTCCTCCCCTGGAAGCCGAGCCTGCCAGCCTGATGTGCCTGTGAAGCTTTGCACAATGATAACTCTGCCTCGTCTCCACTTTCCCGATGCTTAGGAGACAGGGGTTACCTAGCTGAGAATTCAGGAACCGCTTTTTATAGTATAGATTGGCATGTTTTCGGAGGAAGAGAACCCCGGGGGGGTCTTATATATTTCTCTATTAAGATGTCATCCCTTTCTTCTGTGCAATCTACCTGAAAAGACTGTTTCTATCCCTTGGGCATGGCCCTGGGCAAAGATCAAGTTCCTGGAACTTAGGACCTTAAAGGTGTGTCATGAGCTCTGGACAGCCTCCCACCGTGGCCATTCCCAGGAGACCCAGGACCTCTGCCATTGCTCTGCGATGTGCTGCTAGTAAACCTGAGGTGTAAATGAAAGTGAGGCCTCCTACACGCTGCTGTTTCCAGCTGGTGTGTTAGAGCAGCGGCTTTCAACCTTTTTCATCTCATAGCACTTATAAACTAATTACTAAAATTTTACAGCACACCAAAAAAAATTTGTTTTGGCCGATCTGACAGAAAAATAGGTATAATTTTGATTCATTCCTACAGGATGGCTATTGTGTTGGTTGTTGTCATTTTTTTTTTAAGGAAAAAGAGGTCAGTGCTCCTGAATAAAGTTAGCTATTTTATATATATATATATATATATATATATATATATATATATATATATATATATATATATTTTTTTTTTTTTTTTTTTTTTTTTTTTTTTTTTTTAACTTGAGACACTGCTTGAAAATCATGTGTTAGAGGAACAGTACTATTGAGAGAGTCCCATCTAAGCAGAAGTGGCTAATAAATTTTGTGCTGACTACAAGTGTTTGTCTTTATTTCTCTTCTCACAAAGACTAGTGTTCTTGAAAACACCAGCAGGCCATGTAGGATCAAGGACAGCAAAGCATGGCATGTCTTCCACCCACCCCAGCCTGTCCCTCTCTTGTCATGTTTCTTTTTTTTTTTCCTTTTTTTAAATATATTTTATTGATTTTACACAGAGAGCAGTTGAGAGGGATAGAGAGAAACATCGATGAGAGAGAAACATCGACCAGCTGCCTCTTGCACACCCCCCTCTGGAGATGTGCCCGCAACCAAGGCACGTGCCCTTAACCAGAATCGAACCCAGGATCCTTTAGTCCGAAGTCCAACGCTCTATCCACTGAGCCAAACCGGTTTTGGCATGTTTCTTCTTCTTAACTTCCCTGTTTGGAGCAACCTTTCCTGACCCTTAAATTTTTCCGGAGGGATGTGAGCTATATGAGTGTGTGTAAGGGACAGGGTGTTACAGAATTAGCCCACTGTTCCTCAGCAGGTTGGTGCCAAAACCAGATTTTGAACCTGGGTCTGTCTGACTCCAAAGCCCATGTTTTTTGTTGATATTGTGAAGATGGAGAAAGGAAGAGAAACAATAACTAGAACCTTTTCATACTCTTTCTTTAAAAGGTAGTTTAGCCGAAACTGGTTTGGCTCAGTGGATAGAGCATCAGCCTGCGGATTGAAGGGTCCCGGGTTCAATTCCAGTCAAAGGCATGTACCTTGGTTGTGGGCACATCCCCAGTAGGGGACGTGCAAGAGGCAGCTGATCAATGACTCTCTCATTGATGTTTCTAATTATCTCCCTTCCTCTCTAAAAATTTCAATAAAATATATATTTTTTAAAGTATATATATATATATATATATATATATATATATATTTTTTTTTTTTTTTTTTAAGGTAGTTTAACTCCCTTGGGGTAATCAAACTCCCTTCGGAAGGGGCCCACAGATACCCGTTGAGGGAGAATCCCATTAGTTTGGGGGATTTACCTTTATCTTCCTGGAATGCCCTTTCTGCTCAAACAGCTCTGACCTTTGATCCTGCAGTGATTGGGATTCCCATCTGTGGTTAAATGCAGTCTTGGCCAAGAGAGCAGGGAAGGAGGCACAGGATCAGGGAGCAAGAGGTGTCCCATTTCCTAATCTCATCCCCATGGAATCCCTTTCATCTTGCTAAACCACACAGGGATTAAGACCAACAGATCCGGGTCGTTCCAAGATGGCTGACAGGTAAACACCTAGCCGTAGCCACACACAACAATTTCAATAAAATTAACTGAAATATAAAATGGACATTACCCAGAACTACAGGAAAGTCAACTGACTGGAAATTCTACGAGAAGCAAGGAGAAAACCAGAAGGAAGCGCGGAGGAGCTGTAAAAGCCTGAGGTACGGAAACACGCGGAGCGCAGAGAGGACGGAGCGGGAGAGGAGGAAGGCTGAGTGCCTGGCTGGCGTTCCCTAGTGGGAAGGAGATAAATGCTCCAACTGTGCTGGGCCCCAGTTCTGACTGCTCTGAACCCCAGTTCTAGGCCAGACCCCGGGGACCCAGGCTCATCCACAGGGAGCTGGGCTGTAAGGCGGAACCCCGGGGAAGCAGCGAAAGGAGGTCCCGGTGGCGCGCACACTGCGCGCAGAGAAGGGACGGTTGGCTGTGCCACGGAATTGCCCTGGCGGGAAGGAGACGGGCTCCAGACTGCTCTGAACACCACCTCCAATCCCACTACCAACTGAACTGAACCCCAATACTGGGCTCATTGGGGGACAGTATAGACTGTTTGGCAGCAGGCGAAAATTGAGGGCACCTTTCTCTCAGAGGCGCTTTGCAGCGAGCACTGAAGGACCCTGAGACAAAGGAGCCACATAGGGCGGGGCTGACGGAAGCCAAAGCTGCAGGCTCCATCCTGAAACCCCGCCCCATCCAAGCAAAACACAGAGACTTTTAAGGCTACTAACTCAGGAAAGCTGCAAAAATGCCAAGACAAAATATTAGGTCTAGTAATAATTAATGTCGTTTTCTAATACTTTTTAAATCGAATTTATTTAAACAATACAACAAAATTTAATCAACAATATAGTTGCCGTTGTTTTCTACTACTTGTGCCCAACACTCAGGAAGCATTTTAATCTCTCTGTTGTAAAATTCTTGTGATTTTGATGCAAAAAATTCAGTCAATGCATTTTTGAGGCATTCTTCATTATTAAATTTTTTTCCAAGAAGAAAGTTTTGCAAAGAACGAAACAAATGGTAATCGGAAGGGGCAATATCAGGAGAATATGCAGGTTGAGGGAGAACTTCCCATTCCAACTGGCGCAGTTTTTCAGCAGTGATTTTTTTTTAAGTATATATTTTATTAATTTTTCACAGAGAGGAAGGGAGAGAAATAGAGAGCTAGAAACGTCGATGAGAGAGAGACATCGACCAGCTGCTTCTTGCACACCCACTACCGGGGATGTGCCCGCAACCAATGTACATGCCCTTGACCGGAATCGAACCTGGGACCTTTCAGTCTGCAGACCGATGCTCTACCACTGAGCCAAACCGGTTTTGGCAGCAGTGATTCTTGCAGTATGCGGTCGTGCGTTATCGTGGTGAAGAATTACGCCCTTCCGATTAATCAGCTCGGGTTCTTTTTCTCTTAAAGCTTGGGCTAACCTTTCCAATTGGGCACTATACACTGCACTTGTAATGGTTTGGTTAGATGGTAAAAGTTCATAATGAAGAATTCCTTTAAAATTCCACCAAACACACAGCATCACTTTTTTCGCATGCAAGTCAGGTTTTGGCGTGGGCTGCGGAGCCTCATTTTTGTCCAACCATTGAGGCCGCCTTTTCAAATTAACATACAGCACCCATTCTTCATCTCCGGTAACAATTTGCTCTAAAAACGGCAAACGGTTTTGACGAGAGAGGAGCGAACTGCAAATTGTGACTCTTTGATTACGGTTGTTGTCGGTCAACTCATGAGGAACCCATTTTCCAAACTTTTGGACTTTGCCAAGTGCACGCAATTGATTGGAAATTGTTTTTTGTGAACAATTTAAAGTTGTCGCAAGCTCTTGTTGGGTAATTTGAGGATTTTGTACCAAAAGAGCTTGAAGAGCTTCTTGATCAAAATTGGACACACGGCCTCGACCACTCTTGTCATCTAACGAAAAATTTCCCTCGCGAAATTTCTCAAACCAACGCTGGCATTTTCTGGCGCTAACTGCATCTTGACCAAGAGCACTACAGATGTTTTTTGCAGCCTCACTTGCTTTTCTTCCTAATTGGAACTCGTAAAGCATGCAGTGCCGAATATGCTCTTCATCCGCCATCTTCTTAGCCCTAGTTTTGCAACAAAAACCAAACCAAACACAAACTTTTTCAAGCAAAACTTGTTAATTGCACTTCACACGTTCTGTAGATACCACGTGTTTGAAGATTATGTCAATACAAGTCAACGCCAAGCAAGATTTTAAACGAATGTTTAAAAACGACATTAATTATTACTAGACCCGATAGATCACAAACGAAAGAAATGGAGGACAAAAAGCGACTGGATATAGAGTTCAAATCTACGTTTATAAGGTTTTTCAAGAATTTCCTAGAAAAGATGGATAAGACCTATGAGGATATGAAAAGAGATCAACTAGAATTAATAAGGAATCAACAAGAAATGATAAGGGATCAACAAGAAATAAAGAATACATTGACTGAAATAAAAAAATATTATACAGAGTCCTAAAAACAGAATGGAAGATCGCAAGAATCAAGTCAAAGAGTTGGAACATAAAAAGCCAGAAGACACTCCTCCACAGAAGCTAGAAGGCAAGAGAATCCAGAAAATTGAAAATAATGTAAGAAACCTCTGGGACAACTTCAAGCGATCCAACATCAGAATTATGGGGGTCCCAGAAGATGAGAGAGATATCGAAACATACTGAAAGAAATAGTGACAGAAAACTTCTCCCACCTGGTCAAAGAATTAGACTTACAAGTCCAGGAAGTGCACAGAACTCCAAACAAAAGGAATCCAAAGAGGACCACACCAAGACAAATCATAATTAAAATTTCAAGAGCAAAAGACAAAGAGAAAATATTAAAAGCAAGAGCAAAGAAGGTAGTTACCTATAAAGGAGCACGTATATGATTGTCAGCTGATTTCTCAACAGAAACCATGCAGGCCAGATGGGAATGGCAAGAAATATTCAAGGTGATGAATAGTAAGAACCTACAGCCAAAGATAATCTACCCAGCAAAGCTATCACTCAGAATCGAAGGCCAGATAAAGAGCTTCACTAATAAAAAAAAGCTAAAGGAGTTCATCACCACCAAACCAGAATTATATGAATTGCTGAAGGGGGTTCTTTCAGAAGAGAAAGTACGGTATTTTTCGGACCATAAGACGCACTTTTTTTCCCCCCAGAAGTGGGAGGGGGGGAGTCCCTGCGTCTTATGGTCCAAATATAGCCTACACATATACTGTAAAAAAAAAGTTTTTTTACTTGCCCGGCTCTGTGTGGTCTCTATGTGCTTGCCCGGCTCTAAAATGGTTCTAAATGCTGCTGTTTACTTTACAGGGTTGATTACATGTGTTTATGACTGTGATGTTGGGTTTTAATGCACATAAAATATTTTAGGACACTATTTGTTTCAGAATCTTTTTTTCTTCATTTCCCTTCTCTAAAAACTGGTGCGTCTTATGGCCCGGAGCGTCTTATGGTCCAAAAAATACGGTAAATAAAGATAAAAATTATGAACAACAAATACGTAACTATCAACAAGTGAATCTAAAAACCAAGGAGGGTGGGAACCTGGTGGAGGGGGGAAGAAATGAGGAACCTTTGTAATAATATGAACAATAAAGATTGATTTAAAAAAAAAATAATAATAATAATAAAAACCAAGGAAATTAAAAAAAAAATCTGATGAACAATATTAACTATTGAATATAATAGAATCAGAGGTATGGAAGGGGAGTGAACTGACGATTCTTGGGGAAAAGGGGAGAGGGGGATGTGGGAAGAGACTGAACATAAACTGTGCACCTATGGATGAGGACAATGGGGAGTGGGGAAAGGGCAGAGGGTGGGGTGGGAACCTGGTGGAGGAGAGCAATGGTGAGGGGGGAGGAAAAAAGGAACATTTGTAATAATATGAACAATAAAAATTTATTAAAAAAAAAAAAGAAGACCAAACAGATCCCAGTTCCTCTATACACCAGGGGGTCAAAAGGAAATACCCTCTCCACCGTAGCCCCAGAGTAGAAGAAGGTTGCGCATGGTCGTCCCTCATCCCTGTTTTTTCATATGTCTTCTTTCCCTCAACCAAACTTAGAAATTAGACTTAAGCATCCATATAAATAAGTTTATTGAAAAAAGTAAATAAGTCAGTATAAATATAATAAATAATCCTGCCAATAGAATAAATAATCCCAAATTTTCCTTCCCATCTAATAAATACTCAATATGTCCTAGGTCAGCATCATAAATCTGCCAATACTGGTAACTTTTCAACACATGCAGGTCCCGTTAGAATGAATGGACTGATCCACTCGCTGCCTCAGCCGACAGGTTCATCCGCGCCGTGACCATCTGGAGGCCGTCCTCACGCTGTTGGCTTCAGGGGCTCAGGGTCGCGGCCCCGTGGGCAAAGACCCGGGCAGCCACAGCCACAAAGGCCTGGAGGCTGCGAAGGATCTTAGGGCGGAGAAGGAGCCGCTGCCATGGTTGGCTGGGGCCGGGGCTTGGAGTCTGCTCAGTCGCCCAGTGGTGCCCCTCGGTCTGAAAGGACACAGGACACGATTAGAGAGGCCTCGAGATCCGTCCCCGCCGCCGCCGCCGCCACCCTAGTGTGTCAGAGACCGAGCTGCCGTGCTCCAGCCTCTCACTCACCTGCAGAAGCCGCCTGAGGCCCAGGAGAGAGGCGTGGAGCTGGCTCACAGGGCCATCGGGGAGGAGAGAAGGCTCCCCCGTGAAAATGTCTGAGCCCAGCAGCTTCTCGTAAAAAACCAGGCCCTGGTGGATCCTTTGCAAGCAGGCCTGGGAAGAAAAAGCAGTGAGAGGAAACTGACCCTCTTCCTAGTCCGTTCCCGAGACTCCTCCAGGTCTTTGCCTTTCCTAGACGCAGCTGTTCCCCCCACAAACACACATTAAGATCCTGGAAGATCCTAACCCCTGATGTGATGATGGTGGAGGTGGGGCCTTTGGGAGGTGATTAGGTCTCATGCATGGGACTGGGGCTTATAAAAGAGACCCATGGAGCTGCCCAGTCACTTCTGAGAGACAGTCGGGAAGAGGGCCCTCACCCAACCATGCTGGTACCCTAAGCTCCTTGGGGGTGGACCTGGGTAACTTAATTTTTCGCAGCCTCCAGAACTGCGGAGAAATTTCTGTTTATAAACTGCCCAGTCAGTGGTACGTCATCACAGCAGCCTGAGGGACAAGGCCAGATGTCACTTCTAATCCACCAGGTAATCAGGCCCCCACCCCCTCCTGTGGCCCAGCCTCATCTTAGTACCTGGCTGTGGTCACGGAGACCGTGGGGATCACAGCCGTCCTCACACTGGATGTGGGGAACATCATTTGTCGTCTCATTTTCCTCTTCTCCTACTTCTCTTGGTAGATCCTGGAATGGAGCAGAAGCATAAAAATAAGTACTTTCACTGACACTGGTTTGGCTCAGTGGATAGAGCATCAGCCTGCGGACTGAAAGGTCCCAGGTTCGATTCCGGTCAAGGGCATGTACCTTGGCTGCGGGCACATCCCCAGTAGGGGGTGTGCAGGAGGCAGCCGGTTGATGATTCTCTCTCATCGATGTTTCTAACTCTCTATCCCTCTCTCTTCCTCTCTGTAAAAAGTCAATAAAATATATTTTTAAAAAATAAGTACTTTCACACCACATGTGGACGCAGGCCTGGGATGCTCCCAGGAGCCCCACGCCCCCGTCCTCTCGCTCCCTGATGGCCTTGAACCCCCCAGCTCCCACAGAGGCCTCAGAGGCTCCCAGGGCCCACAGCCTCGGAGAGTGTGGAGAGGCTCCTGCTCAGGCACGGAGGGCACCACTCACCACATGCCCCGGGGGCGGGTGCGCACTCCAGGCCAGCGTGCAGAGCTTCTGGGAGAGCCGCTGGCACTGCGCCCAGGCAGGCCCGCTGCCCGTGGGCACGGCCCGGCCCCGAGTGGCCCGGCAGGTCAGCAGCAGCAGCAGCAGCAGCAGCAGCAGGGGCACGGCTCTGCTCCCCAGCATCCTGGTGCCTGCGTCTCCAATCTGGCCGGCTCTCTGCCTTGCACCCGTCCTTGTGGAATCTCTGCCCACTTCCCCCTGTTCAGAGCCCGATTCTCTCTGTTCTGTGCGTCTCTGGTTTGGCTTCCTCTGTTCACTGAGGCTCTCAGCGGCTTCCCTTATTTTCTTCTCCCGAGTCCCTTTTTAAGGTCCCGGCATTGTAACACCCGCCCTTTGTACTCGCAGGTGACTCACAGCAGGTGGGATTCCCCTCCCTGCATCACGCCGCTGTGGGGAGCCCAGGTAAGCCGCCTCAGCTCCGGGGGAAATGACTCTGCGGTGGCTGCGGCTGGAGGCCAGGGATAGGACGTATGTGTGATGCTCTCCAGGAATGGAAATGGCTCTAGAAGGGGCGGGGTGAAGTAATGAATATTTAAATGAGTCTAGTCTGAAATTCCTTCCTGTTTAACTTTTTCCTCCTCTTTCTGCCTCTCAAAACTACTCCCCCAACCTACAATAAATTCCTTATCTCCCCTAGCCTAAGGAAAAATTAAAACATAAGCATTCGTTTATTTCCCAATAAAATGGCAAACTCCGTTTGGAATGAAGTTTAGCTCCCACCAGATACCCTCTGAAAATAAGAGGGCTTCTTTTTCTTTATCGGTGACAGTGTCGCTTTCACTGGGAGAGAATGGACATGAAGGCACGTTGAGAGCGGGCAGCCACATAATGCTGTATGAAGTGCTACGGCTCCCCTACTTCAGGCCTCACTGTGGAGGGCAGGACGACGGTTGGAGGGAATTGTTGCTAAGAACCGTCTGATTCTTCAGCCTTAGTGGCCCAAAGGTTCATGGGCCCTGTGGGATGCAAGTGATGGTTCTTTGGAGACACCAGTGTAAGCAAGGGCTAGAAGTCCGACTCAGATACTCCAGCCCCTGCACCACGGCAAGAAGGCGAGGACTTACAGACAGTTGAAGGTGCTTGGTTCAGTGACACTGGCCAGTCCTTCAGCCTGTTGCATCCATGGGTAAAATCCACCAACAATGATTTCATCACCCTCCCTGATGCAACATCAGTGAGACAGCTAAGAGTGTGAGGTCAGGCGTGGGCGTGGGGGGTGGTCCAAATCTGGGGCTGCCCCCACCCTAAGCGGAGGGTCCCAGGACAGTTTGGACATCAGAGTGAGGCCATGGTGACCACACGGACAGCTCCCGAAGCCTCCCCAAGAGGCTGACCCTTTCCTCTGAGAAACTTACCCTGGACAGAGGTTTCCCTTAGAATTAGTCAAACTGCCCGGTGAAACTTCTGGTCCAAATATGACTCTCTGGTAAATCCATCCTTTGGCTAAAACATTTTCAGCAGCAGGGATGTCATCTCCGTTTGAGTGAGCGCTGGTTTGTCTCTCCCCACACTCAGGGGAGACTCACAGAATAAGGAAACTGGTGGTGGCAGTGGAAGGAGGGGAACTCACCTCACGTTCATATAATTTGTCCTAGGATGCTGCCTCCTCTGGTTCCCATTCTGTGGGCCCTAAGGATGGGAGGAGAACGGTGAAGAGGAGGAGGGAGGAGTGGAACTCTAGGGGATGACATGAGAAGGGCAAGAGTTGAGCTGGAGGCATGGGTTCGCTGCTCTGTTTCACTTCCTGGTGCTTGGGGAGTTGGGTAGGAAGCAAGGTTGGTGGGGCAATCGTGGGACTGTCGTGCGGCAGGAACTACTTCCGGGACTAGAGCTGACCTGGAGCTTCTAGGAGTCCTTGACGTCAGCAGGGCTTTAACTGTTATGCAAATCACATTCACAAGACACTAAGTAGGCCTTTCCAGTTGGATGACCAGGCTCCAAATCCAGTTGAAGTTCCCCAGGGTAGTTAATGATAGCTAATATACAGGGTGGGGCAAAAGTAGGTTTACAGTGGCTCATATGGAAAACTGATACAATTGAAATATGGTAGCACTCATACTTGGGTAAAAACTGCTGTTTGAATTTTAACCTTGCTATCTGACTTCTACCTTCGATTGCTTGCTTAAACAATAGGGTAGTTACAGGAGATTGACTCCCACTGACTCAGTAGCTTCAGGGGTAGAAACTGTAGATAACCTTTAGTTCTGCTTTTGTATTATGGGCAAGATAGGGCCACATCCAATGTCAAGCAGAGTGTGACTGGGAACCAACCCTGTGGGCTGTCCCCAGTCTTTAGAATTTAGTCCTGAGGGGCCAATCAGGGTTAGCCGAGGCAGTGACATCACCTACCTGAATAAAACTCCTGGACTGGGCGATATTCGCTCTCTTCCGCCATGCTGCCGGCATGAGTGGGATAGCCTATGCTAGCATAGAGATGGCTCTTTTGTTTATTGCATCGGACTCGGCTCCCTGGTGGTCCTTGGGGATCATGACTGGAATCCCCAGCCAGGACCATGAGGGACCCCCATTCCGAAGAGCCTGACTGGCCGCGGTAGGTGTGTGTTTGTCTGTGTTTTTGTGTGAGCGCTCTGGAGGGACTGCCCCTCCATCAGGGCTCTTACCTGGGTGTTTACCGGCTGCTGCGTCAGCCATGGTTTGAGTCCAGATTCGAATCTGTAATAAATTCTAGCATGCTTAATCAAATTGGCTCCGGTGGTCCATCTCTTGGGGACTCGCTTCGTAACAACAATAATGAATAAATAATACAAGATTAAACTGTTTTTGTGTACTTTAAACTGTACACCTACTTTTGCCTCACCCTGTATATCACCTCTCACTTTATGCCAAGTGCAGTGGAACCTCGGTTCTCAAATTCATTCTGGAAGGCTGTTCAAGAAGCAATTTGTTGCCAAAACTGGTTTGACTCAGTGGATAGAGCGTCGGCCTGCGGACTGAAAGGTCCCAGGTTCGATTCTGGTCAAGGGCATGTACCTTGGTTGCAGGCACATCCCCAATGGGGGGGGTGCAAGAGGCAGCTGATTGATGAATCTCTCTCATCGATGCTTCTAGCTCTCTGTTCCTCTCTCTTCCTCTCTGTAAAAAAAAATCAATAAAATATATTTAAAAAAAAAAAAAAAAAAAAAAAAAGAAGAAGAAGAAGAAGAAGCAGTAGCAGCAGCTTTCGGCTTTCGGCTCGGAGGAGGCTCAGGTGCAACTTTCTTCAGTCATCCCGAATCCGGGTTCACCCAACACCATCTGCCTCCACCATGCCGCCAAAGTCCGACCCCAACGAGATCAAAGTTGTACACTTGAGGTGCACCAGTGGGGAAGGGGGCGCCACGTCTGCCCTGGCCCCCAAGATCGGCCCCCTGGGCCTGTCTCCAAAAAAGGTTGGTGATGACATCGCCAAAGCAACCGGTGATTGGAAGGGTCTGAGGATGACAGTGAAACTGACCACTCAGAACAGACAGGCCCAGATTGAAGGAGTGCCTTCTGCCTCTGCCCTGATCATCAAAGCCCTCAAAGAACCTCCCAGAGACAGAAAGAAGAAAAAAACATTAAGCACAGTGGAAGTATCACATTCGATGAGAGATTGTCAGCAGTGCCCGACAGATGCGGCGCCGATCTTTAGCCAGAGAACTCTCTGGAACCATTAAAGAGATCCTGGGGACTGCCCAGTCTGTGGGGTGCAATGCTGATGGCCGCCACCCTCGTGACATCATAGATGATATCAACAGTGGTGCAGTGGATTGTCCGGCTAGTTAAGAACTACAAAGGAAAAGGACTCAATTAAAAATCATTTTGACAAGAAGAAAAAAAAAGGAAGAAGAAGCAATTTGTTGCCTTAACCAGTTTGGCTCAGTGGATAGAGCGTCGGCCTGTGGACTCAGGGGTCCCGGGTTCGATTCTGGTCAAGGGAATGTACATTGGTTGCGAGCACATCCCTGGTGTGGGGTGTGCAGGAGGCAGCTGGTTGATGTCTCTCTCTCATCGATGTTTCTAGCTCTCTATCTCTCTCCTCTCCCTTCCTCTCTGTAAAAAATTAATAAAATATATATTTTTAAAAATCAATAAAATATATTTTTTTAAAAGAAGAAGCAATTTGTTAAACAACCAAATCATTTCCCATTAGAAATAATGTAAATTGAATTAATTTGTTCCAGACCCCTAAAACAAAAAAAGGAAAGAAAATATTCACAGCACAATTTCCTGAGATGTTAACAATTCGAGGTTTAGCAGTAAACTGACTCATTCTCTCCTGAGACATGTGACTGATCATACAAGTATCAGCATGAAGAGACTGTCGGGGCCCTGAGGGTGGAGGAGAAGAACCAAAGTTTTATTCAACAACCAAGATGTTTTTTCCATGAACAACTTGGTTGAGGACCAATTTGTTCAAGATAGGAGATGGTGGAGAACAAACTTTCTCTAACATCTTCAATCTTGACTTTCTTGAACAACTTTATTTTTCTTTTATTGATTTCAGAGAAGAAGGGAGAGGGAGAGAGATAGAAACATCAATGATGACAGAGAGTCATTGATAGGCTACCTCCTGCATGCCCCCTACTGGGGATCGAGCCCACAACCTGGGCATGTGCCCTTTACCAGAATCGAACCCGGGACCTTCCAGTTCACAGCCCTCTACTCTATCCACTGAGCCAAACTAGCTAGGGCTGAACAACTTTCTTGAATGTCTCCCATCTCAAACAATTTGGTTCTTGGCCTGAAAACCCTTTCATGGTGATACCTGTATGGCAAGTCACATTTTCTTAGTTAGGTACTTTTCTCTGAGTCTAGGACCAAATCCACTCGGCCCACAGGGACAGTATCAATACCACCAATTTTGTGGACATCCTGGAGGGGCAGATGCAGGGGCCTGTCAGCTGGCTGAGTTGGTGACAGGATGCAATCCAGAGCTTCAATCAGTGTGGTTCCTCTGGCATTGTCATCTTTGTGGACTTGAACCAAGGCCCATTAGCACCTGGCTCCAGCATGTTGTCGCAATGCCAACCAGAAATTGGCACAAATGCTACTGTGTCAGGGTTGTAGCCTATTTTCTTAATGTAGGTGATGATTTATTTAACAATTTCCTGACATCTTTTCTGGCTGTAGGGTGGCTCAATGGGATCCATTTTGTTAACACCAACAGTAGCTGTTTCACACCCAACATTTAGGCCGCAGGGCATGCTAACAGTCTGTCCATTCTTGGGGATGCCTGCTTCAAATTCACCAGCACCGGCAGCAACAATCAGGACCACACAGTCAGCCTGAGAGATATGCCTGTCATCATGTTTTTTATGAAGTCTCGGTGTCCCAGGGCATCAATGATGGTCACATAGAACTTGCTGGGCTCAAATTTCCATAGGGAGATATCAACGGTGATACTTCACTTATGTTCAACCTTCAGGTTATCCAAGACTCAGGCAATCTGGAAGGAGCCCTTCCCCATCTGAGCAGCCTCTGTCTCATATTTCTTGATGGTTCTTTTGTCGTTGCCACCACATTTGTAGATCAGATGGCAGTAGAGGTAGACTCACCAGAGTCTACATGTCCGATGACAGTGATGTTGATGTGAATCTTTTCCTTTCTTACCTTGGATTTGAGTTAATGGTTGTTCTGACAGCAAACCCGTTGCGAAAAAAAGGCCCATATATTTTTAAAGAGAGTGGAAGGGAGTGGGGAGAGACAGAGAGAGAAACATCAATGTGAAAGGGACACATCAATTGGTTGCCTCCGGCCTGTTCCCCCACCAGGGCCAAGGATTGAGTCTGCAACCTAAGTATATGCCCTTGGCTAGAATCGAACCTGGAACCCTTCAGTCCGTGGGTGGACACTCCATCCACTGAGCCAAAACAGCTAGGGCTTGTATGTTTTTGTTATTGTTGTTAATCCTCACCCAAGGATATTTTTTCCAATGATTTTTCAGAGAAAGTAGAAGGAAGGGAGAGGGAGAGAGAGAAAAACATCAATGTGAGAAAGACACCTCCCACAAGTGCCCAAGTTGAACCTGAAGAAACCCAGGTACATGCTCTTCACTGGGAATCGAACTTAAGACCCTTTGGTGGATGCTCAAGCCAATGCTTTAACCACTGAACACACCAGGCAAAGAAAGGGAGAAAAATGTTATCTGTGAGGAATTCCTTCCACCAAAGAGGCCCTCTATGTGGCCTTTAAAAACTGAGGTAGGCCCTAACTAGTTTGGCTCAGTGGATAGAGCGTTGGCCTTCAGACTGAAGGGTCACAGGTTTGATTCCAGTCAAGGGCATGTACATTGGTTGCGGGCACATCCCCAGTAGTTGTGCAGGAGGCAGCTGTGTGAAGACCCACGTCCTGTGTGGTTCAGGGTTCAGGGTTTGGGCTCTGGAAGAGGGGCAGCGTGCAAATGACAGAGACGAGACAAGAAATAATAATTTGGAAATTGGGGGCCAGGCGGGAGCCCAATGCAAGAGGAAGGACTGGCTTGTGCTCAGGCCTTGCCATCCTTTTATTCCGTTTGGGATACACCTATAGCCCTTAGGCAGGGAATTTCAGTAACAGGCAGACTATCTTATCAGTAAGGATTTACATGACTATCTGGGGGGGGAAGTGCTTCAGCTATCATTGTCTGGACTAAACAGTGAGTGCACAGCTCTGACCTTTGCCAGAGCTCAAGGGTCACCAGCATTCCGGGCTTCTTGTCCACAACGCTCTGCTAGTGAAGACAATAGCTGGCTTTTGATTCTCTCTCATTATTGATGTTTCTATCTCTCCCCTCCTATCTCTAAAACAAATAAAAACATAAGCAAACAAACAAAAACTGAGCTAGCCCTGGCCAGGAAGCTCAGTTGGAGTGTCAACATGTGCACCAAAAGGTTGCAGGTTTGATCTCAGTTGGGGCAAATATAAGAGGCAACCAATTAATGTTTCTCTCTCACATCAATGTTTCTCTCTCTCACTCCCATCCTCTCTCTTTAAAATAAAAGCATATCCTTGGATAAGGATTATATATATATA